TTCTCTCTCTCTCTCTCCCTCCCTCCCTCCCTCCCTCCCTCTCTCTCGTTTTCTCTCTCTCTCTCTCTCTCTCTCTCTCTCTCTCTCTCTCTCCTGGCTTAGTTTTCCTATGTAGGCTGCTCAGAGTGTAGGGAAGGAGAAGGATAGGAGGGAGGAAGGAATAGGAAGAAAGAAGAAAAGAAGGGAAGGTGAAGGAAGTGGGAGGGAGGGATAGGAGGAAGGGAAGGCGTGGGGTCTCCTCCCACAGCCTTCCCTGCCACCCCTGAGGAGGAAGACGGGGGGGGGGGAAGTGCCCCACTCTCCGGAAGGGAGCCCGGAGCTGTTCAAGGGAGCTCAACTGCCCCCATGGAGCAGCAGCCCCTTTGGTTACTTCCCCGTTTCTTTTCCCGGGCCCAGGTAGATACCGAGGTGCCCCACCTGCCCCGGCACAGAGTTCTCCACCGGATGGAGACGGACAACAAACGGTCTATGTGCCCTGAAGCCCAGGGAGGGGCAGGAGTCCCAGTGCTCCCCCCTCCACGGGGTTTCATTCTCCCAAAGGGAAGGCAAGTGACCTCCCCTTGGCTGCCCCCTCCCCCTGCCTGGCACAGGAAGGGCTGCTGGGGGACAGGCCTGGGGGGGGGGTCCAAGGGACGAGGCTTCCCCAACACCAAACTCAGCCCCTCTTTTCCACAGTCCCTTGTGCTCTTTATTGAGGTGTCAGTGTTAGAAAGAGGCTTTCACAGCGATGGGGGGCGACGGGGTCCGGGGTTCGGCTGGAGGGGCGTGTCTGAGCTGTGCAGAGCAAGCGGGCACAGGAGCATGGGCCTGGGGTGCTCGGCAGGGCTGGGGGCAGCTGCCACTCCCGCCGGCCGGTCTCGCAGGAATGTCTCGATGCTTTACTGCACACCTTCCATCATCTTGAGGAACTCTGGGGGGGAGATGGAGAGGGGTCAGCCCCAGACCCAGCAGTGATGGGCGGCAGAGCACCCCCTCCCAGAAGGGGCCTGGAGCCAAGGAGGGTGACCCCCACCCACACACAAAGGGGCTCCCAGCACCCCCAACCGCCCTGGATGCAGCCTCCCTGAATTGCTAGGGGGTCCCAGGAGGGACTTTGGCAGGGGGGCGCTCAGCCCCTACAGTCCCCAATTCCATGCAGGGAGAAGGCTGCGTGAGGGGCTGTGGGACGGGGGGGGCTGTTGCTCAGCCCCAAGAATCTCCGTCCATCCGAGCTGCTCACCGTCAAAATCGATCCGCCCGTCGTTGTTTTTGTCTCCGTCCCTCATGAGCTCCTGGATCTCCTCTTCTGTGACGCTCTCCCCGGAGAGCTGGAAGATCTCCACCAGCTCCTCCGCATCCAGGAACCCATCGGCATTCCTGGCAGAAAAGGGGGGGGCGGTGAATGACCTGGAGGGACCTGGAGGTCTTCTAGTCCAGCCCCTACTCAAGCAGCAGAACCTATGTGGCTGCCCAGCCTCTTCTTCAAAGCCTCCAGTGGATGGAGCCCCCACAGCTTCCCTTCCACTGGTCAATTGTCCTCCATCCATGTTGCTTCTTGCCCCGCCCTCAGGGGCTTTGGAGAATAGCGTGACACCCCCCCCCCTCCTCTTTGCTGGCTGGGGAATTCTGGGAGTTGAAGTCTGCCAGGCTTAAAGGGGCCAAGGTTGGAGACCCCTGTCCTAGTGGACGGTCGCTTAAATATGAGCCCTTTACTGTGTGCGGCAGCTGCCAAAACAGCCACAGCAGCCCAGTTGGGCCTGAACGAAGGTCTTGAGAGTTCTGAGTCGCCATCCTCTCGTCCTGCCTGGAAGTCCAGCAGGTCAGACCTGTCCCACTAGTTAAGGGCCAGACCGGAGGGCAGGAGGGAGCTGCTCCTTCTTCCGGGCCACGCCTGGAGCCACGGAGTCAGGGAATCCTCCGGCCTTGGGCTAACTTGAGAGGGGGACACATGTGCCAGAGAGCCGCCTTCTTCTCTTGGACACTTGGGGCCAGCTCGGTCCCTCGAAGGCTCCCACCCTGCTGGGCTGGAACCCCCAGGGCCAGGCCAGTCTGGGGGCAAAGGACCAGGCTAGAGAGTGGGAGGGGGGAATTCCAGACCCATCTGAGCTGGGTGACTTTAGGGACCCATCACCAGGAGACGGTGAGTTCTAGTCCCACCTCAGGCGCAGAAGCCACACGGATAACTTTGAACCAGTCCCTCTCTGCAGCCCAGCCCACCCCACAGGGTGGTTGTTATAAGGAAAAGGGGAGGTGTATTAATCTGTAGAGATTCTCCAGATCACGGTTGTCCCAAAGGGGCCTTTTTTCAAGAGGCAACTGGACTTTCTGGTTTTTCAATTGAAAACGTTTTACTTCACATCTGAGAAGCTTCTTTGGATAAGATCATCAGAGTTGGGAGGGACCTTGTAGGTCATCTAGTCCAACCCCCCATGCCCAAGCAGGAGACCCTGCACCATTTCTGGCAGGTGGCAGTCCAGCCTCTTCTTGAAGGTCTCAAGTGATGAAGCTCCACAACCTCCGAGGGCAACTTCTGTTCCATTGGTTGATTGTTCTCACTGTCAGAAAGTTTCTCCTTATTTCCAGGTTGAATCTCTCCTTGTTCAATTTCCATCAATTATTCCTTCTCTGGCCTTCAGGTGCCTTGGAGAATAGCTTGACCTTTTCCTCCTCCTCCCTGTGGCAGCCCCTCAAATATTGGAAGGCTGCTCTCCTGTCTCCCCTGGTCCTTCTCTTCCCTAGACTAGCCAGGCCCAGTTCCTGCAATTCCATTCTTCATACGTTTGAGCCTCCAGTCCCCTCATCATCCTGGTTGCTCTTCTCTGCACTTTTTCTAGAGTCTCAACATCTTTTTTATAGTGTGGTGGCCAAAACTAGATACAGTACTGTAGGTGTGGTCTTACTAAGGCTTTATAGAGCTTTATTCAGCTCTGACAGGATGGTGGGGGAGGGAAGGATTTATGCTCCTTGCAGACAGCTGGTCATTTGCAGCGTTGTTTAGAGGATCCTTGAAGCACCTGCAGGTTTACCTGTGTCCTCAGGGCCACCTGAGTGGTGCAAATTGTTCCTGTCTTTTTTTTCCTGGAAATGCATTTCCAGGAACCATTTGCACCCCTCTGGTGACCCTGAGGACACCGGTAAACCTGCAGGTGCTTCATATAAATCCTTCCCTTCCCCACCATCCAGCCAGAGCTGAAGAAGCTTCTTGGATGAGAAGCGAAACATCTTCAAAGGAGGAAAAACCAGAAAGTCCACTTGCCTCCTGGAAAAAAAAGCACTTTTGGGACTGAGAGGCATATCCTGAAGTGGATTTGCCACTTGGAGTTACTTATGAACTTATAAGCAGAAAAGAGCTGGCTGAGGAATTCTGGGAGTTGAAGTCCACCAGTCTTAAAGGTGCCAAGTTTGGGGACCCCTGCCCCAATGAATGAATAAAACAAAGGAACACCCTCCCTGTTCCCCCAAAAGGCCACTCTGCCCCCCCCCAACAGTCCCCTTCCCCCCCCTCCTCCGTCCTGGCTGACCTGTCAAAGATGCGGAAGCACTCGGCCAGCTCCTCCTCCGACTTCCCCTTGGCGTCCTCCTTCATCTGCCTCACCATCATCACCAAGAACTCCTCGAAGTCGATGGTTCCGCTGCCTGCATGGAGAGGGGGGGGCAAGGCCAGAGTCAGGGGGGGAGGTGGGGGGGTCTCCCCAGCCCTTCCCCCCTCCCGCCCCTCCCCGGCGTCTTCCCCCTCTCACCATCCTCGTCCACCTCCTCTATGATGGCGTCCAGCTCTTCCTTGGTGGGCGTCTGGCCCAGCATCCTCATGACTGTCCCCAACTCCTTGGTGCTGATGTCCCCACCCCCGTCGGCGTCAAACATGTCGAAGGCGGCCTTGAACTCTGCGGGGGGGAAGGGGGGACCCCAAGAGAGGGTGGGGGGAGGGTCTCATCCTCTGCCGGAGAAAGGCAGCGGCCCCGCAGCCTCACCGGCCTCCCCCCCGTTGTCCAAGCGACCCCGAGCCCAACCGTTCAGAAGTGGCCCTAGGTAGCCCTCCCCTTACAACGACTTCATTTAGGGACCGCTCAAAGAAGGGAGGGGGAGCTCTCGCCTCACAATCCGGAGGCTGTGAGTTCGATCCCAGCTAGAGGCTAATGCTTGGGATAGACTCTCTCCTGCTCGAGCGGGGGGGGGGGGTTGGACTAGATGACCTCCAAGGGCCCTTTCCAACTCTGTTATGATTCCTATGATTTCTATTACCGTATTTCACACTCACGACCCTGGGAGCATCCCCCACCATCTCCCCATCAAAATTCAGAGGCTTGGCAAACTGACTCATACTTATGACGGTTGCCATGTCTCGGGGGGGCGTGTCACGTGATCCCCTTTTGCGACCTTCTGACCAGCAAAGCCAGATCCGCTTAGTGACCACGTTCCTAACTAAACAACTGCAGCGTTTCACTTAGTCACTGTGGCAGGAAAGGTCATAAAACGGGAGACGACTCCCTTCATGACCATCTCGCTTAGCAACAGACCTTGGGGCTCCATTGTGGTCCTAAGTCAAGGACCGGCATCCCCCGGGCAAACTCTTCGATGCGGCCACTCTGGGCCCTCCACCCCTCCCTCCTCCCCTCCCCAGGGCTTCCCCCCCTGCCCCCCCCCCGACCCTGCCCACTCACCCGCAATCATTTCCTCGCTGAGGTAGGATCGGGCCTCAGCCTGCTGGTCCGTCTGCAAGGCAAGCACAGGGGTGACCGGGGGCCGGGAGGGGGCCCAGCCGGGGGGGGGGGGCCTGCCTAGGGGAAGTCCAGCCCCCCCTCCCCTCCCAGCCGACCTGAGTCCCGGGGCCCTTCGCAGCCTCCCGGCCTTCCCACCTTCGCTCCCAGGGGCAGCTGAGGCTTTGGGCACCAGGGCCCCCACCCACCCCGCTCTGCTCCTTGGCTCAAAGGGGGGAAGCAGCAGCAGCAGCCCCAACCAGGGAGGGGCTCCACTCTGGGGAAGGACGGCCAGGCCAGGGGGGAGGGAGGGAGGGAGGGGACTCCATCGTCTCTCCCAGACGGAGCCCTAAGTCGAGCCCCGAGAGCCCCTGGACTAGGGGAGCCGAGTCCGTCCGGCTGGACAATCCGGGTGCCGCCCTCCTCCTCCTCCGCCAGGCCTCCTGGCCACTTCCTTGCTCCCGGGGCCAGAGGCAGCCGGCCAGAGCCAAGATGCTTCTTGAGGCAGGGGCTATTCTTAGCCGGGCTGGAGCAGCTCCTTCTAGGGGCCACTGCAGGCGGCCTGCCAGCCGGACCCACACCTGTCCACCCCCCGGATTGGGTTACTCCTCCAAGAGGCTCTGGGGGCTGCGAGATGCCCAGGCGCTCCTCGTGACCCTGGGCTGTTTCCCCCCAGCCAGCCCCTCCTTTCTGCAGCCTCTCCTTCCTTGCCAGAGGTCCCCAGGAGTTTTGACTCCCACTCCCCCCCCCACAACACCCCCCTCCCCTGCCCACTTCAGGCCCCCCAAGAAGCAGACGCCATCGCCCCCACAGCCACCCGGCCTCCCCAGTCCTGCCCCCCCCTTCCTTCCTCATCATGCCAGCAGCTTCATCCAATGGATCTTGGTGCCCCCCAGCCTCACACACGGAGCGGCTGGAGCCCGGCTGGTGTCCTGGAAGCTTCCTGGCCGCACCTGTGCTGGCCCTGGGTCCCCCGGCCAGCTTGTCCCATCAGACACTCAGCCAACCGGTCCAGCTGGCCATCCGTGCCGTCCGGCATCCTGGCAGGAGGTCCAGCTCCATCCGTCCTGGCACCGTCCTTCAACGGCCTCCGTGCCCGCGGCCTTGCCATGCTTACCATGTTGACAGGTGTCGCCCCGGAGCCTCGCACAGAACAGAACCTCGGTGTCCCCCGGCGGTCTGAGCAGATGGCAGATGCTGCCCCACCACCCACCCGGCCCCATTTGTACCCCACCAGCCCGGCAGGGCCCCCCTGGGTCCTCCGATTGGGCACCGGGAGAGGCAGCCCAGCCCAGGGCCAACCCCCTTCGGCCTCACCTGTCGATTGGCCAGCCGGGCACTTTACCAAATTTAGCCAAGGTTCTCCTGGCCAGGAAGTGGGGGGGGGCGGGAAGTGGGAGGGGCAGTGCAAGCCCCGGGAGTGGGATGTGGGGGGGGGAGAGGACTCAGTCCTGTGGCTTCCTCCGCCTCCCCACAATTTGAGGCATAGCAAGGAATCGTCCCCCTGGAGTCCCCGCTCCACCCACCCACCCACCCCACAGCCTGGAGGGGAATAAAAATAGACCTCAGCCTGCCCTGCCCCATCTCTGCATCCCGTATCCAGAAGGAAGCCACAAAGGGCGGCCTTAATTCACCCACACACCCACCCCCACTTGGAGGGGGGGGCTAAGTGGCTCCCTGAGCTTTAGGGGAATAAAGCAGTTCAGGAGCCCCTCCCCCCCCAACTCTGCATGGCAGGGGGTGGTGAGGGAGGGATGTAGCAGCGGTTCCACCGCAGCCCCTATGTGGCTCTCCCCCGCCCCCCCCCCCAGCCCTGCTTTCTTTAGGGGGGGGATCCTCTTTCCCACTTCCCTGCGGCTGGGAGGGGGAGAAGGCCAGAGGGCAGCCCCCCAACCCCTGGACTCCACCCGGCAACCTCTGCAGCCTGGGGGAGACAAGGAACCCCCAGCACACGCTGCAGGAAAACCAGCGTGACCCTCCCCCCACCCACCCACCCCGTTGGGGGTCTATTTGGGGCCGCCCAATTCTTGAGGAGGGCGGGGCCTGACGGGCAGGAGCAGCTGGAGCCCTCCCCCCTATTAATAGACATGCCCAAGGAAAGCTGCTGAGGAGGGGAGGGGGGCAGCGCGCTAAATAAGGCAGAGAAGTGCCGGCTCAGGTGGAGGGGACGCCCCCCCAACTCCCACCCCCCTGCACATCCGCAGAGCCCGCGCCCCCCCCCCCCCCCGCACCTTGCCCCGGGAGGGGGCTGCAACTGGCAATTGCCAGGCAGATGAAATTCACCAGCGCCACCCTGGCACCAAAGTGGCTCCAGGTTCACGGCCACGTTTCTGTCCTTAGGAAGAAGCTGGAGAGCCCCTTGTCTGGAATGGCTGAGGGACTCCTGCTTTTGTGGGGGGTGGGGGGTGGACTAGAAGACCTCCAAGGTCCCTTCCAACTCCTATTCTATTCTATTCTCTAATTCTATTCTAATTCTGTTTCTATCGTATTCTTTCCTTTCCATATTCCTATTCCAATTCTGATTCTGTTTCTAGTCTAGTCTATAGTCTATTATTCCATTCCGTTCTGTTCTGTTCTCCCTTCTGTCCTGTCTTCTGTTCCGGGTCCGATTCAAGTGGGGCCATCCTGGTTCAGTGAACTCATCCCAGGCTCAGATCCACCTGGACTTTCCAACCTTCTGTGCTCCACCAGGAAAGGCTGGCAGGCCGTTCCCCACACACACACCCCAAAACGCCCTCCCCTGGTTTCCCCCGGGTGTCCGGAAGAGGGCGTGGCCCTGGTTGGGCTGCAGCTGGGGAGAGCCGGTGCAGAGAGACCAGGCGGCCAGGGAGGGGCGCCACAGGCTGGGTGTCTGCAGCGGCCAAGAGAGATCTGGCAGCCGAGCCAGGAGAGGAGAAGGGCGGGTGCAGGGACAAGCCAGGACTTTGGCTGCCCGCTCTGCCCCTTCTCTCGGGGTTGCCACCCAGCTCTTCCCCACAACCCCAACGCAGGGCAGTCCCCACACCCACCTTAGGGCTCCTCCCAAGACTGGCACCCACCCAGGCAGCCCCTTCTGGGACGGCTCTCCTGCTTATAGACGGAGGGCTCTTCAGAGTTGCCAACTTTAAGACCCGTGGACTTCAAATCCCAGCCTTCCGTGCACCTGAGGGGAAGGGCAAGAAGCAACGGAGGGAAGCTCATCAAGGAGAGAAGCAACCTGGAATTAAGGTGACATTTGCTGACAGGGAGGACAATTAGCCAGTGGAACAGCTGGCCACCAGAAGTTGTGGGAGCTCCATCCCTGGAGGCTTTTAAGAAGAGATTGGACAACCATTTGCCTGGGATGGTATGTCTCCTGCTTGAGCTAGGGGTTGGACTAGAAGACCTCTGAGGTCCCCTTTAATTCTCTTGGAGGTTGATGGCCATGCAATAGGTGTGTTTTAGTAGGTGTCAGTTTAAAGCCGCCTTCTGCACAGGGCTTTTCCGGTGGGAATTTGGAGTGGGGATTCAGGGGTCTCCAACCTTGGCAACTTTAAGACTTGTGGGCTGGATCAGAGGTGGGGAAACAATGGCCCAATTATGACTGGTGGACTTCAACTCCCAGAATTCCTGAGCCAGCTATGCTCCCACACCCACTGGACCCCTTAGGGCTCCTCCCTGCTGGCTCAGGAATTCTGGGAGTTGAAGTCCACATGTCATCTTTCCCCACCTGAGCCAGATGGAGTTGATTGGTTGGAGGGTGCCGGCTCCTGCATGAGGCAATCTGTGCAATGATTGGTTGCTGTGGGTGTAAAGGGGGAGTTTCCCTTCCCCCTCCCTCGCCTTTTTCCCCCTGTTGTGCTTTGTATGCTACAGGAAGTCCTCAACTTGCCATAGTTCACTTAGGGACTGTTCAAAGTTGCAACGCACTGATAAAAGTGACTTGTGACTGTTTTTCACACTTATGACCGTCGCAGCATCCCCAGGGTCACGTGATCAGGGGTGGGATTCTAGCGGTTCTGTCCAGCTCGGTAGAACCGGTAGCTCTGGAGAGCAGCAGACATAGTTCTATGTCTGCTGATGTTTTGGCCCACCCGCCTGCCTGGGCTCTTACCTGACCTTTATTTCCTGCTTTTTCAACCTCAGCTGCCGTGCGAGGCATAGGTGTGGTTGAAAATTCAGGGGAAAAAAGTGCTTTTTCAAACGCTGCTTCTCTGCACGCAGCGCTGCTCAGCTGTCCAGGCAGCAAGCTGATGACGATTTACAGGCGCTCGCGCAGCATGCAGGGAAGCACATCATAAATCACCAAACTGGTAGTTAACCCTGTCGGATCCCACCCCTGCACATGATCAAAATTCAGGCGCCTGGCAACTGACCCGTATCTATGACAGTTGCAGCATCTCCCGGGGGGGTCGTGGGGTCCCCTTTGGCGACCTTCAGACGATCAGTGGGGAGGCCAGATTCACTTAACAACCTCACTAACTGAGCAAGTACAATGATTCACTTAACAACGGAGGCAGGGAAAGCCGTGAAAAGGGGCAAAAAACCTCACTGAGCAAATGTCTCACTTAGCAAAATAAATGCTGCGCTCAGTGGCGGCTGTGAGTCAAGGAACTATCTGTATTTGGTTTCACTTCATGAGGCTCCTATGCGCCTGACTCTCTCAGCTGCTGCAAATTTCTAAACACTATCTGGATACGAAACTCTGTGGTGGGGCTTAGTTTCTGGGGAGGGAAATAAGGAGGAAAAATGCTGCCTCTGCCTCCCATCTGTATTCACCTGGCTAGCGTCCTGTCAGTGTGTGAGAGAGCTAAGGGCTGTTTGGAAACTGAAACAGTATTTGCTGTGTGAGCAAGGAGGCAGCAAGGAGCCTGGGCGTGGCTTAGCTCAACTGTTCTGTACTAAAGCTGCTGGGTGCTGTTGTGAAACTGAAACTGAACCTCCTCTCTGCTTGTGTTTTGCATTTGGAACCGATTTCTTTTCAGGTGGGGAGGGGGAGTAGAACTCCTTAGCATCAGAGAGTGTTAATAATAATAATATAGAAAATCCTCTAAATGTTCTGATGCTCATTTCGAAAAATCCTTTCTTGATGAGCCACCTAGAAGCCAAGAGGAACCTATGGGTCAAATTTCAAGCTCGTAGGCTTGACGGTTCTGGAGATTTTGCGATGATGCGTGAGGGGTCTTTCACTTTTATATATATAGATTAAATGTATTTATTTATATAAAACTACACGTTTGTGTTGGTGTCTCTGACTTCACTTGGACGCCTGCCACACAATTCCCTGACACTCTGCCAGGGAAGAGCAGGGAAATCCTACCAACCTCCAGGCTTCACCTCCCGTCTGCAAACCCCAAACCCGAACCCCACATCGACTGGCCTTGGGCACAAAGGCAGAGGGTGAAAAATGGATGCCAGACAGAAAAGGCCAAGCCGAGACATTCTCTAGGAAACCAATTGCCGTAACCTTTGAGACTCACCTGCCTGGAAATCACCTGAACTGAAAAACAGGTCTTACCTGAATGGCTGAATGGCCGCTCTCTCTGTTATCAGCTCTGACATCGCTTTCTGCCCTGGTGGGTGTGCCACGAGATGTTTCCTTGCTTTCAGCAAAACATTTGACACATTTTTCCTTAAAAGTGGGATTAGAGCCAGTCCATTGGAGCTGGGTGGCCAACAAACTTAAATTAATAAATGCAGCTGCGTGGAATGGCAGGTGGAATGATAGATTTAGGCTTAGAATAACTTTATTGTCACTTTGGATGTACACTAATCAGGCATGCATTAAAATGACATTTTGTTGCATGCAGCTCTCAAAGGGTCACCGCCTGCAATAAACACTTGGCTTTAAAATGATGAATAGCTTTGATCAAACTGCCGGAAGGTTTTGCACGGGTCCCTCGTAGGCCAGTGTTTGGCCTTCTGTTCGTCCAGATTTAAGGGCTTGGATAAAGAAGGAAAGCCTATTGGGGATTTGAAGATGGCACAAAATTGGGAAGGACACCCCGGACGGCAGGGAGATTATTCCACGTGATCCTGAACGGCTTGGGAAACTGGGTTGAAATATCAGCCTGAAATTTCATGGGAACCAGTGCAAGGAAAGCCGAACCCCACAGGGATAGGATGGGGGATGCCTGGCTTAGTAGCAGCACTAATTAGAACAATTAATTAGCGGAACAACTTGCCTCCAGAAGTTGTGGGCGCTGCAACAGTGGAGGTTTTTAAGAAGAGATTGGGCAGCCATTTCTCTGAAATGGTGTAAGTT